TGAATTAATGTTGGCTTGCGGTTTTTTAAGAATTAGATCCAGCCATGATGATGCTTGTTATGTGGCTTGACAGACGAGAATCCAGCAAGCCCTCATTGGAGCCGAGGGGCTTTGTCTACCTGAACATTTTAGTAAGAACAAACGACTGTAGAGCAACGGAAAATTAACCTCCGTCTTCTAGAGAGAATGGCCTACGAAGCTATTCATAATGAACTTATACACATCACGAAAGTTGTCATAACATTTCAAAGAACCCCTTAACCTGTTAGTTCCATCAGCTTCTCTAGTTCTGCTTTTCGCAAAAGACATGCCACAACTTTTAAAGCCTTAGCCAATTCGAAGATATGAAGACCAAGATGTTGTGGCCTCTGGTATGGTCGCAGTCTCCTTTCGATTTATAGAAGTGGGTTGACCTCGTTTGACGTTTGAGAATGTACCAAGTCCACTGTCTAATGCTGGGAATCATGACAACTACTGACAGACAACTTCGGACTAGGTGCGTTCTACTAAGTCCCCCTGACAACAAGACCAAGTTGCGATAACGAAGTCAATCCACTTCTTAGCCAATTCGAGTTAATATTCCGTTCCTCCAAGCATTTTCATGCTTTACCAACCTGATGTCATTTCCGATCACGTCTAAAGGTTACGTCTTAATTTGTAATAAATCGAGTAACGTAACTTATCCCAATGATAGTATAATAACTCGTGTCAATCCCTTCCCACTTCATCGATTAGCCTCAATATAGGTTATCATGTCTAGAGCATAATGGTTTCCTATTTAGATGAGATGAGTAAGATGACTAATGACACGGCAGGCACTTCCGTCTGGCGAGGTTGTTTGCACCCTCACGCTCAGACCCTTAAAAGTTGAGCTGATGCTACTCCTTAATGCTATGCTATCATTTACGCACAATTCTTTTCTATAAAATCCTTTTGTGATTCGGCATCATCACTTCGATCAGGTGGGATATCAGTACATCATAGCTCATTGAAGACTGCATCTAGAGTTGTATCACAAAACTTGAAGGTCCGACGTGATTCGAGGGCGCGGCTTTTGCTTCTAGATCCCCATTTTACCAATGTTAATTGATGTTAAAATTTTGACCTTTAAAAAACTAGGTATAAACATTAATGGGCTGTGGCCTGATCTCGTTTTCGCAACTTGGTCGTGCTGTCAGAGTGACCTAGTTGGACGCACCTTGTCTGATGTCCGCTGCTATATTTTTATGCTGATTCCCAGCGTTAGACCGTTGACTTGATATACTCCCAGACGTTTAACAGCACCGTCGATTTTCGTACAATTTTCAACCGTTCGCCAGAAAGTAGGTCAGGGGATTGACTTCGCTTGTCTCTTTGATGAATTATAGCTTGATGCTGATAATGGCAAGGCGTGTCTGACTAAGTCGCCCTGACAGCAAGAGTAAGTTGTGAAAACGAGGTCAACCTACATCTATGCATCGAAAGGAGACTGCAACCATACCGAGGGCCACAACATATTGGTTTTCATATATTCGATTAAACTTGTATTTATTATTGCAATCGAACACATTCCGACTCAGTACTTTTTGAATAAGAGCTGTACTGACTGTAGATCTTATAAAATGATTAGGGACTGTTAGTACTGATTGCTATCTTTTTATATGAGTTGTGTTCACCTTATTTCGTTTAAGGTGATCAAAGACTGGTAATTGAATTTTCCAAAAATGCTATGAGTAGAGCTGATTTCGATTGAATTTCACACAGCCTTGCTTCCTAAAGGTGTTATCATCCAAGGTGGACTGCAGTTTCGACCTCGCATAGGTCTTATCAACATCCTCAGCCACATTCGAACCATGAAAGTGCAGCGTGTAATCTCAATACATTAACCACTACGCCACGCGGCACTGCAATGGTTCGACTCCCGCTGAGAGTGTTGAAAAGACCCACGTGAGGTCGAAACTGCGTCCACCTTGGATGAGAACACATTTAGGAAGCAAAGTTATGCGAAATTTAATGGAAGCGGCAGCTCCACTCACATCATTGTGGGAAAATTCAACTCATATATCTGATATACTGGCATTCTCAAAAACATACTCACTAACAAAAAAAGTAATGCTATCTTTTTATTTTTTCCACAAAGATCCTTCATTTCTTACCTCCTCCGCTCTCCTTGCCCTCTTCTCCCCGTTATCCCGACAGTCGGCTACTCTGCCGACTCTGGCTACCGGCCAAGTGGTCCGCTCTCCTACCACATGGGACCACCGGCCTCTCAGGGCGGTTCTGGTCAGGCGTCTGCAGTGTTTACCGTCCATCCGGGCCAACTGGCTGGACATCTGCCGATGAGGCCTGAGCCTGGCTTCACGATCCCGGCTGCCGCTTCAGGCTTCCTGGGGCCCTCCTCAGAAGAGACGCTTGACCCTCTGCCCTACTCCCCGGGATTGCAGCAGTTTGAGCCCGGCGCTCCTAGACCCTACCAACACCCACAGGTGCAGTCGCCCGTTTACTCAGGCCTCTCGCAAGAGTCCTCTTTCTACATGCCCACCAGTTCTCAGTCGTACGCTGAAGCGCTCAATCTGGCAGCGGCGGCCAACGCCGCCGTGAACGCCGCAGTGCATCGCTACGAGCCGCCAGCCCTCAGAGACACAGGTCGGCAGTCCAGCTTCAGCCTCTATCAGTGCTAGGATTGCCGTTTATTCCTTTCTCCCTGTGGTATCGCATGATTACCTAATCACTTCTCAACCCAATTTTCGTCCCTCAACCTGCACGTCATTCCCTATCTGCCTTTCCTCATGTCCACTTTTTTCACTCCACCCTACTCTTCTTCCTTTACCCCCCTTTTTTCAAGCTTACCTTATGTATGCACCCTAGATTTATTTGCTTACACTTCTATATCCAACCTGTTTCCCACATTTTTGCCCAGATCTTCACTACCCACTTTGATATTAATCGCTCGTATGCCCTTCAGCTTCCAGGCGCACTGAATAATGACATTGGCTTGCAAGATTGTGTATGATTGAAGAAATCATCGTAAAAAGACTATCCACACCATAGAAATCATCACCCTTTCCGTTATAATTTAAGAAGGCGATGAGATAAGACTGAATTGTGAAGACTACCACGATACAGGAGCCTGAATTTGTTAAAGTTGTACCAAGTCCATGGTCATTGCTAATTATGGCAAAGGACTCCGGACAAGATGTGTTCATCTGAGTCTTTCTGACAATACGATTAATACGACGATATAAACCCCTTCAATACAACAAAAGAAGTCCACGACCATTACAAAAACCATACTATCCTGATCTTCATATCTTAGATTGAGATGAGAAGGCTTCATAAAACTATTCAAAATACATTAAAAG